TACGGCAGTAAATAAAAGATCATAAATCTGTCTAGTCCCAAGTAAGCGAACCCTGCCTAGAATTTCATCCCACTTAGGGCCAAAGAAGTGTGGCAAGTAGAACGATATGGCAACCTTTTTTACAGTGACCAAAAAAATTAAAATGCAGTGTATAAAACAAGAGCCGCAGAGCGTCTGGGCTCGTTTGAGGTCTGTTGCTACGGTTATAAACGTAACATTTAAGTCGTGCGTAGTGACGCAGATATGCAGATACGCAGTTGCGTACACATCATTTCAGCAATCTTCTGCATTCTGCATACCTCCCAAATCCCATTGGTTGATACAAATCGCGTGCCTGAAACTCCTGTTTTATGGTGCATTGTGACCCTAACCCTAACCCTAACCCTATTAAAAAACAAAAACCAATAATTGTTGTAAAAATTATTTGTTGTTATTAAATTGTTGTAAATAAATCATGTAAATATTTGCATTAATGTAAAATTTAAAATGTAAATGTAAAAATTAGAAAAAAATTGTTAAATTGATAAAGATAGAAAAATACAGAAAACAGGTAAATAATAAAAAATCAGATGGGATTCGATCCAACAACCTTTGAGCCGTGACGCATGTGCTGTACGCGTTTGGCTATCCAGGCTTATTGGGTTTCTAGATTATGGATGTGCCATGAATATGACAACACTGTGACGTCATTGAGGCAGTTCAGGAATCCATGTTTAACCCTCCTCTTGAAGGTCAAAAGGTTATCAGACACTTACTCTTCGCACGTCAGTGGAAAGCACATTTCATGGTCCTTTCAATAAAGTGATAAAAATGGTAGGTCAGCGCTGAAACAAAAAAGTTTTTCACTCTGTCCATTAGGCCATGTCCTCAGAAAATGTCTGATATCTGACCTTTCCCCCACTGCCCTTTGACCTGTGACCTCCAATTTCGCACTGGTGATGGGTTTCCTACCCATGACACTCTATACACCGAATATTAAGAGCATAGGTCGAGCCGTTAAGATTTGTGCCGCAATTCCGTATTTCATCCTATACCTTAAGTTAAGGGGGAAACATTCCCCCTCCATTTACACATCTTGACCTTTGACCCTTGACCCCCCAAATTTGTCATCCTGAGTCCTTTTCACGATCCCCCCCCCCCGACGTCCCGAATATCGTGACCGTACGTCGAGCGGTTAAGATTTGTGCCCAACTGTTGACGAACGGACGGACGCACGCACGCATGCACAATCATGCGATTCTACCAGCTGCATCTGACTACGTCAGATGGGCTAAAAATTAATAAAATTTCGCATAAAAGCTCGAATGTATCCTTATACTCTGCATGGCACCATGAGAAATAGACTTAAGTACACAAAAGTTCACTAATGCCTATAAATACATGGAAATAATGGTACATTCTGGTTCACTTCAATCTTACAATAAAATGCTCACTGGCGACTTATTAACAGGTTACTTAGGAAAACGTTTCTTCTATGGGGAGGGTATTCTGAAATTTGTCCTCACATGTGCCCCATATATGTATTTGTCCAGCATCTGTCCACCCAATGTCTGGCCTCCGATGTCCCATACTTGTAGTGCCACATGAACATTCCCTAGACAGAAGCAAAGACAAGACCATTGGAAATCTTAATGATAAAAAACCTCAGTCCAACGCATGAGAAAACAAGAGAAGGCACGGAAATATTTGCCTTCTCAGAATAAAAACACTGTTTTTTCCTAATTTTTTCTACTTTATACGGGTGGACGGACCGATGGATGAATGGATGGATGGATGGATAAATGAATGGAGGGTTCGTTTGATGGATGAATGGATGGCTGGATGGATTGATGGCTGGATGGATGGATGGCTGGATGGATGGATGGATGGATGGATGGATGGCTGGATGGATGGATGGATGGATGGATGGATGAATGGATGGATGGATGGATGGATGGATGGATGGATGGATGGATGGATGGATGGATGGATGGAT